ATTATGAGATCCGTTATTGATTTATTACTTCTAAATTACACAGATAATTTCATGTTACACTTTTAGTGAGAAAAATTAAACCATTTTTTTTTTCATATAATTTACAATCATCGAATTTCAAACTAGTTTTGGTGACATTAACTATGTAATTATCGTTTTCTATATAAACGATTTATCTTAAATAATATTTTTCATTTTAAAGATACAAAAAAAATGTAAATAAAAATAAAAGAGGAAGACAGTTTTCATATAGTGAAAAATGGTAACAGAACTTAACTCATTAAGTATAATTTATTATTTAAAAACATAAGTCAAAGAGGAAAATGTACTGTTCGTTCGAATTTTCTCTTTTTCTATAAATAAATAAATAAAAAATCTGATATTTTAATAGTACAAAAGATCTTTCATTTAATTAAACATCATTTGAAAAATTTTTCTGTTAAATTGGAATATGTTTTCATTTAATGATAGGTTTGATTAGAAGTTTCCTCACTAGAATAATTATGTTATGTAATTTTCAAACTAATTATAGTTTTCTCTCTATAACTTTCTTAAATAAATTGCCTTTCTTCAGTTCTCACTGATCTAATTTTCTCAGTTTTTAATAAAGTTTGTTAACAAATCGGCAAATGGACATTACCTGATAGAGTAATTAATCTTAAAACAATGCATTTCGAATTACATTACTTTCTGGAACAAGTCCAAATAATGATAAGTAATTGTATTATTGGGGTATTTCCTGGAAGAACCATGATTGAAATTTTAAAATAAATGTATCNTTTATACAAATTTTTTATAAAAAAATACTTTGTTTAAATTGTTTTATTTTTAAGATTTTAATTTACATAAATAATGAACAATATACATAACTTATTGTTCATTATTGCACACAACACAATATATGTATTTGTATTTCCTTATTTCCTCGATATCCTGGGGGTTTATTTTTAAAACGTAGCCTACATTTCCTCCAGTTTTTTTGAGGCCAGGATTTATTATTGATAATTTTCAACAGGAGATGATTGGGTAAAAAATGAAAGAAATATCTTAATTATTTGTACATTTTCGAAAGTATCAAAACCGTTAATCGATTGTACTTATGTCTTACAGCTAAATTACTTGAAACAAATGCTGCTTTTATACTTAACCCGATTCAGCGTCTTCTAATTTGGTTGTTTGGTTTGGTTGGTTTATTCGTATACGGCCATACAACACATGGGAGATTTGCCGAAGGGGGATGCCTCTCGGGAGGTCTTTTATGGGAAACTGGCCCCTGTTTAGTTGCTAACTGTTACTAACCCCCCTGTTACTAACGTAAAGAAAATCCGGAAAACTCCACGTGACCAGCTCGTTGGAGAGACGCAAATCCATGACCATCTATCAGTGTTCAGTGGTTTTGTCTACTTGGCCACTGATGGGCGATTTGGTTCTTAAGTTGTTATTCGCGTGTTTCGATATCATTGTCGGAATCAGGATCTTGACTACCATTTTCAGGTTCAAATTCTCTGATTCTAATCTTCTGAATTAACCTTCGGCTGAAAGTTCTCGACTTCGATCGCGACTTTCCAATTCACAATATTCGACAATATTTATAGAGAAGGTGGTATTATGGAACACTGCGGGTATTATGGAACCACCCCATTTCGAACTGATAATAAAGGCGAACTTTAGCGGAATGTGGCTGAACTGAACTAGGCAGACATCCATAGCAAGGGGAAAATTCGTTTTACTTCAGTTAAACGGTTGTCTGCATTTAATCAGCAAATTTGTTTTTTCAAAATTCGCAAGTTTTGAATGCTAAGTGAATTTAATTATTTTTAAAATATAAATCGTGTAGTTGTAGGTTCACTGGTGCATGTATTCTGTTCCAGAGACTTAGGGGTACATATTAATCTGTGTGATGNGCCCCTGTTTAGTTGCTAACTGTTACTAACCCCCCTGTTACTAACGTAAAGAAAATCCGGAAAACTCCACGTGACCAGCTCGTTGGAGAGACGCAAATCCATGACCATCTATCAGTGTTCAGTGGTTTTGTCTACTTGGCCACTGATGGGCGATTTGGTTCTTACGTTGTTATTCGCGTGTTTCGATATCATTGTCGGAATCAGGATCTTGACTACCATTTTCAGGTTCAAATTCTCTGATTCTAATCTTCTGAATTAACCTTCGGCTGAAAGTTCTCGACTTCGATCGCGACTTTCCAATTCACAATATTCGACAATATTTATAATTTTATTTCGAAAAATATCCTTATGATCTTTGGAATAGAATGTGCTGTCCGACTCTAAACAACTTAAAAGAGGTAGAATTTTAGTTAAATTTCTTACCATCACTCTAAACTATATTACCGCGTACAGTGTAGTACTTCAACATGTTTCCCATGTTTTCAACCAGGAGTTTATTTGAGATCGGGGTTTATTTTTAACAACATTCTTTATTTTCCGGGAGTTTTTGGTAGATCAGAGTTTATTTCAATCCGGAAGTTTAATCGAGGAAATACGGAACATACAGTAAATTTATGTATACTTGTAATATAGTGATTGTTTATAGATTGAATAAATTGGAAGAACTGTTCTTATTGACTTCTTGTAACCAAAATTTTATCATAAATAAATTAAATAAAAAAGTAATAATCTAAATAAATAATCTCTATATCTAAAATAGAATCTTCATACACTTCTAAACCCATTTTCCAATCAAATTTTTCATAGTTACTTTCTAAGACTCTGAGGAAAATATAGGTTATCATAAAACCTGGACCCTCCACCTCTCTCCCGATTTTATCCCCTTGACACTTCATGATAAGCATAACAATGGTAGGTTAAAATAACCAAATAATATGGTTTCGTTTTAATGCTAGTGTTTATTACCTTTTGCCCGGGCAGCATCGGGCATATTTGTTCAATAAAATTAAGTAAATATCTGAATTTTTAAAATTTAAAGAAAACGAGAAAACTTGAATGCATATTTTTCTTTTAAATAATAAATTTGTTTTTCAAAATGTTTTTCAATTTGTTATCCAAACTTTTAATAAATTATTTTTACTGAATATGGCCAGATCATGTTTTTGCTTGGTAATTCAAACAAGTGTAAGAAATCTTAATTAGTAAAAATATGTAGTTTTAATATCTAATATAATTTCTGTTTTTTAGCAATTATTTATAACGAAAACAATATTTTATTTCTAAAATACATTGTCCTTGTTACGGCTAACGTTTTATCGTTAGTTTTATACTGTTTTATTGGATGTATACGTTACTTATTTATTTATTCATTTGTTATTATTTACCTATTTCATTTGAACAGGATTTCTTTTGCAAAATAATCTCGGGGGATTGAAAAATGTTCGGGATAGTAATCTCAGGTTAATGATAACTTTATATATTGTATTTAAAAATATATATGTAAATAAAAATAAATATTTAAACAAAAGGTTCGATAGTACTGTATATGTTTCATATACTGCATATTGTATTTAAGAATTTTCTCCATTTTTCTGAAAAGATGCAAATTTAATTATTGTTGCTAAAAATTAATAATTCAATAATATGTTTAATTCGTTACACAGTACATTATTTTTATATTAGTTGTGTCGGCGTCATTTTTAATATTAAAAAAAGATATGAAAACAAAAGAAAAATGCTATAAATAAATTACATTTTTAATTTTTGGATTTATTTGATAAGAGTTTTAAATGATAAAATAAATAAATATATGCGTAATGTTACGTATAACAGAATATATTAAAATTAATATTTTAATGTTTAATATTTCATATTTCTGTTATATAACTTACTATATAGGCTATATTCTTATAATTTAATTAAATCAAATAAATTCTAAAATCAGAAATGTAATTTATTTATAGCATTCTCCTTTTGTTTTCATATCATATTAATATTAAAAATGACGCTGACACAACTAATATAAAAATAATGTATTGGGTAACATATTAAAAATGTGTGAATTATTAATTTTATATATATACCTTATATATTTTTTCCAGTTTTTGAATAATACGGTATATATATTTTACTATATAAATCATACGTCCGAATATGTGCCAAAAACTAGAAATCATAATTCGTCTTTTATAAGCCTCAAGCATTCCTTACAGGAAAAAATATTTCAGTTTATCAAAAACTTCACTTTTATCTCTTCTTTACTATTTTTAGCAATTTAGTTCACGCTATCATTTTATCTAGTTTTTAGGTAAAAAGCCCAACTTTTATTACAAAGGTTTAAATCAGATCTGGCAATAAATAAAGAACGACGAACAAAATAAAATAAAAACTAAAATATTTATTTTATTTAAATAAAACAAGTTCAAAATGCACATGTTTGAATTCTTAAACTGAAATTAAATGAAAGAAAAATATTGACGTAAGAATATTTATGTTTTTAGTTTTAATATAAATCAATAGAAGAATTTTTCTTATTAAGCATAAATGATAACGAAGATATAATGATAACGAAGTGATATAAAAATATAATTTTAGAATAAACAAAAATCTTCAATACAATTATAGAGGCTGAACGGTTAGTATTACACTCAGGATTGTTCCATATTAAAAATTGGCTATCATATAAAAGAAAACGTCAACCACAATTTTTAATTTGTTCTACAACGTAATATCATATGTCTTTCTCCTTCATCTTCTTTTTTTTAGAGAGATGAAGAATGCTGAAATAATCTGCTACTTCTCAACGCAACCATCTCATAGCGATTCTTTTTCAAAACATATCAGAGGTATTTTAATATCAGTAAAGTATGTAAAACAGGCGAAAAATATTCTTAATAAATTATATTTTTGTTAGATTTTATGACAGCTTATAAATGACGAAACAAGAATTTACACGATTAAATCGAAAAAAAAACCAAAACAAAACTGCAAAAATTAATTATAAATAAACATGGAGAAAATGCAATTATTACTCATTTAAATTGCAAAATTAGCGCAAATTAAATTTATAAGTACGGAATAAATAAATTTTCAAACCTTGTACTATAAGTCGTATAGTTATTTCATCGTGACCGAAAGCATTCGTTACTAAACAACTGTACAGAGCAGAATCTTCACGTTGAATACTTTGCAATTTCAACTCCGATATCATTCCATTAGTAGTTATTTCTTCATTTAATTTGTATCTATATAAATAAATAATAAACACTCTTAAAAAATTAATAAATATTATTAACAATAGAATGTTTTTCATGTTTCTCATCTATCATTTTAATTAATTTTTTAATAAAGAAGATTTAATTTATTTTTTTATTCAAATCGACAAAGTAAAAAAAAAATTATCATTCACTAATTATAAAAGAAAAATTTGCATAATTTCTGTAAAAATGTGAATACATGGTTATTAACGTGGAAAAAATATGAAGAATTAAATTACTGAGAGATCAATATTGCAAGAAAAACTTTACCTACATTTCTAAGAAATATAAAGTCAGTTTTCAATTTAGAGTTTCGGATGGTTTTTAGAAGAGAAAAATTTTTCTCTTCTAATTTAAGCCTCTTTGGATTTATATTTAATTTAGAAACTAAGTTAAAATTTACGACTACACATAATCTAAAAATAAATATATCGAACTAAACAATTAATTAATTAATCAACCAATTTTCATTGGTTATTGCATTATAGTAACTCATAAAAATATTTTATTAGCTGTTGCTTAATTAAAGATGGGTTTTTTTCCCCGCTTTAAAAAAAAATAGGAATTTTTTAAGTAAAATATTTTTAAAATTTCAACACCTTAATTCTATTACAATTTTTCATTTTGTCTTTCTCTTTTTTTATTTATTCATAAAAATTTACTTTATTCATTTATTTTTCAATATTGTATGCATTAAGTTAGAAAAATATTGACTTAAAACGTCAGTAAAAATTTATAAAAATTCCAAAGTTAATTTTTGTATAAAATTTTCTTTATTCATTGAAATCTAAAAAAAGAAACTAATATTCTATCAACACTTTAAAACAAAAATCTTGTAATTTGATTTTTAACCCGTTTGATTAATTTTCTAATTATCAAGCCAATTTTCTGTTAAATAAAAAAGCAGATTGTAGAATTAAATATTAAATTGATCAGAAATTTTTCATTTAAGTTTTTTTTTTATAACTTTTCACAGATTTATTTAAAGTTTTATTCTGTCAGCGTGCCCTGTCACTAAAAACTTTCAAAAGGTAAAGTATTAAATTTTAGTTAGCACTTTTGATGATCTTTATATTTATCTTTATATAAATAATAAAGACTATAGATTAAATTATATCATATTAATATATATTTTCAGTTATTTATAATTTCCAGAAAAATTAGGTTTTAACGCTGAATCAATACGTCTCCAACATTTAAAAACCTTCGATGCTTGTACTAAAAATCATTATATATATAGGCCTATATATTGGACAATTATTGGCCACATTTAATTTAGAATTAAAAGTAATACATATGCACTTTAGTTTTAATTCTCGTTTAAATATTATATGTTACATATATTACGGAAAAATATTTTTAGAGAAAGCATAAACTTTAATGATCCAAAATAATACTTTATTAATAAATATTATTAAGCATATAAAATATTTATATGTTGCAAATGATTGNCTTTGAATTCTTTAAAGAAGTTTTTCACTTTTTCACCTCTTTGATAGAAAAACTAACATCTAAAAAATTCTGCAAACTTCGCTATCAATTTAAATCAGAATTTCAACAATTTAATTTTTCTAAAATATACCGTATTTTAAAATTATTAACACATTAAATATTCTTATTTAATGCTATTATATACAATACAGATCTACTATTATATTTATATTGCCTAAAGTATTATATATTAAATATTAATTGTAATATTGCTATATTAAAATAGAATACCTTATATCAGCTGATTTATTTGATATTTATTCTATTTAGAAACTACTGTATTCTATCGTTATCATTGTCACAATAAAGAAAATTAAATGTATCATTAAGCAAATTATATTTGTATAAAGCTGAGATGTGTACAAAATTAATTTATACATTATATAGTATTTTGCTAGTCATTACTAATGGTCGTTGTTATTTCAACGTCGTAAAACTATTCTGATGATAGGCCTATATATCGTGAATACAATATATTCACCATTTCACGTGTACAATGAAGCAAGTAGTTGAAGTATCATTTTGCGTGTACTAAAATAATTAGTTTGAACATAGTTCAAGTATGTTCATAGTTCATAATCTATGTCAAATATAATTTATTTAAATATCATTAATTATATCAAAATCTATATTAAATATGCAATTTTTTAAATTGAAAGTTTTAAAATAATTGATATCAAATTTAGATAATTTGTCTTGGAAATTAAATTATATTTTATATCTGATATTTAGAGTTATAAGTTATTTAAGTTTTTTATTACTAATATTTTACGTTCTGTTTACAGGTCTATATTTAAATATTTGTTATTGCTTTTTTTTATTAATAAATAAATAGGCCTATACTTTTTAACTGAAATTTATTAGCGAATTTTAATAACATTGATAATTTTACTGTAGAATTTTATACAATATAAATATAGTAGTATAATTGGCATATTTCGAAGGATAAAATTTGTAAATTTTTTGATTATTTCCGAAATCAATTATAAAATAATTTGAATTTTTTGAAACATTTTATAAATATAATTACAATTATAATTATATTATTATAAAATTACAATTATTGTAAAAAATTATAATTACAATTTACATAAATATATATATCTTTATATACATATATATACATAATAGACAGCTTTTACGACTAGTATAAATTTTCTGTTATGATTTATGAAAATGCCATGTTTAAGCACCATGTTTTGTTAGCCACTTCGACATGAAAATAGAACTAAAATTTACGACATTTAACCTACGGGAGTTCGATTTGCGATAGTTTGTTCAACGACGGGTTTCCCAGGAAGCAATTAGGCTGTAAAAGCGGAGGATTGTTTGCTGTGCCTATATATACAGTATATAAACAAAAATGATAACAACTGACATTAGTGAAATTGATAATAAATACGTGATTGTTTTGTTAAAGTGAAGCAATTATTGTTGAATATAATCAGTTTACTCATTTAATAAGCTTAAGTAATCGATAATAAATAGATGAATAAAACAAATATATTAAAGTGTTATTATAAAATGAAGTTAAGTAATAGTTAATAAGCGTACACAAAATTAAATACTTTATGTAAGAAGTTTCGTAAAATATTGTAAAATATATTCGCAGAAACCTTTTTAACTAAATTTTTCTTTTATTATATTTTAAAATTATTATATTCATTTGTGGATTGCAAAATATACACAAACTATTTATTTATGTATATTAGCTTAACTTTATAAAAATTTAGTTTTAAATGTAAATATGAAAATAAACTAACAAATTCCTAAATTTACGATTAATAGTTCTTTTTAACGATAGTTTCAATATTAAGTAATTTACAGTATTACCAGAAGGATCCATGAAAAGATTTTTACAGTATTTCTATATTTACTTGTATTAAGTGGGGCAGATTAACCTGACGGATATTAATATTAAAATAATATACAAGTTACGTAATTATGCTACATTAATTTATCATCATCCTACACTTAACAACAAAGCATTTAACATAGGATTCATGAATAATCATCTTTTGAATATAGTGTCTGTGAGATGGCGTCTATTGTTGTCTACACATTCTTGCAATCGTTCCGTACAGATTTGTATGACTTTCTACATTTCAGGAGAAATTGTCGCCACTTCATTCTTGATGTTCCGTTTCATATCCGCCGCAGTCCTTGAATTGCTTCCAGTATGAGCCGTTGCCTCGTCCTGTTGAAACCACAGATTCTGGTATTCAACACCACACTGGCTCAACTCCAGTTCAAGAAAGCTGGGAAGCATTTCGATGCAGCGAGCTGAATTTATTGTCACAGCCCCGTCTTCTTCGTCAAAGAAATATGGACCAATCATTCCAAAAATTTCTACATCACACCACACAATAACTTTAACAGTAGGTAAAGTTTGCTCATGTAACTCGAGGGTTTCACAAAACAAAAATGTATTTTTATTACAGTATTTTACATCGATTTCAATTGTTATTAAATGGCCTCGAGTTAAAGAGCCTGTGAACTTTAGGACTTCAGGCCACTCTTTCACCCTTAATGTTTCAGTTACAACCGTATTTAAAAACAGTCAGGTTAATCTGTCACACCCTGTAGAATAGAATCTAATCAAATTTATTTTTCAATTTAATAATATTTATTTTGGTTCTTATTCTATCAACGATAGGAATTTTTATGAAATTGGGATTTTAGTTTCGTGTTTATATTTAAGTGATTACTGAATGTTTACGACACGAATTTTAATATTCAATTTAATTACTTGATAATGTGACATTCTGAAAGTAGCATTTATATTAAGTACGATTGCTTTAGCAATATATAATACAGAACATGATGAAAAATTTGCTTCATTGAACAAGAATTTCATTAGAAATTTTCCAATAACTTCCGCTAAAACAGAAATCGCTTTAGCCGAATAATCTTTACATAGATCTATAAAACGATATTAAAACTAAAGCTGTATTGAAATTAATCAATTAAAAATATTAAATTTACATTAATCAATTATTAAATTTATTAAAAATCAAGTTTTGGAATATGCACTTATAAAATATAAATGAAATTATAATTAAAAATAGATTAAAACTATGTAAGTAACATAATTGAATTTAAAAAATGCAGTTAGAGATGTAGTAATGCAGTTAGAGATGTAATAATTGAATTAATCTATATAAATTCTTCATAAAAAGATTTGATACACTTTATTTCAAGAAGAAATTGTTAGAATAAATTTTATTATCTTTTTTTAACTTTTTAAACTTTAATTTACATTATAAAATAAAAAGGAAATACTCGTTTCTTAAGAAGACTTTTTCAGTGATAATTTTTTAAACAAAATTACTGAAATTCCATTACGCAATTTTACACAACTAAGTTGAGAAAATTATTATTAGCAAAACAATGTATTATTTATATCTTAAATAATAAAATTATTGCAGTATTTAAAATAAAAATAGATCTTTTTCTGTTTGTTTTTTAATTCCAAAAACTAACTTTAATATTTATAAACGTTGACTAATTTTCGTAAATAATTAATATTTTTACAACAACAATAGAAGTTATCTTTGAAAAAGTATAATTGTGACGAAATAGCACTTTTTGAAGCTATATTTTAATTTAAATTACAAAATTTAACAATTATGAAGTCTTTGTGAAAGGAAATTTTTTTGAAAATCGAAAGAAAAAGAACGAAATCACTCGACTTTTACCAGGAATTCAATCCAAAATTGCAAGAATAAAATATTATTTATATTCTTTGCAGTATTCACGGTTCAGGAAATCTTTTGGAATTAATTTATAGCTGCAAGTCAACGATGCATTCCTTAATTACTACTAAGTTTAACCGCTAATTCAACAACTAAAATGAGATTCTTCTGTTGAATTGTTTCGTTTAGAGAACTCGAAGCAATTAGCTATATTTTTCTTTATAGAACGAAACTTTTTTAAAGAAAATTACTAAATTTATTTGCGCGAGAAACCAATAACAATAAAACTTTTATTCCTCGACTGTAACTTTATTTTAACAGTAAAAATTTGAGAAATGACTAAAGCAAAAACGTTTTAAAGTTGTTTATTTTATCGGTCGAAATAATTTTTATAATAGCTTTTAAAATGAAAAGAAATTGCTTACCGTGTACCGTCAAATAAATTACAGTGCTCAGACCTGCGCCAATTCCATTTGTTGCTTGGCATAAATAATATCCAGCATCTTCTGCCAAAGAATCCGTAATTCTTAACGTCCCATTTTCAAACACTTGAAAATGCGGTCCACTTAATATTTGCTTAAAATTAGTAGCTGTTTTTTCTTTAATATTATAAAAAAGTAAGAAAAAAATATTTCATATTTTTTATGTATACAAGATCAATATTTTATAAGTTTTATATGAAAAAAATATATATATTTTACCAGAGGCACGTTTCCAAACAATCTGAGGAGTCGGATATCCATCTGCTTTGCAATTCAACATAACTGTATTTCCTTGTACTACAAAAGTATTCACCGGTTCAATAATCCAATGAGGCAATACTGTAAATATTGTATTAATAATAAATTTTACTATTAAAAATATAATAATTTATATGCTTATCTAAACAGATAATAACAATTATAATAAATAGAATAAGTTACATTCTACTTACGTATATAATCAATCGTACTACATGCATTAACGCATATGATTAAATATGATTAATGTCGTAACATTTAGAAATTTCTGTATAATTATGTAAATCACCATAGTTAATAGTTTAGTTCTGAATTCTACTAACGAAATTCAAAATAACATTTCTCTAATTATAAACTCCAGATTTACATCTGAAATATTCATAGATGTGTTCTGTTGACCTCAATAATAACATATTTTGTATAAAATTATGTACAGAATATATTATTTTGTATAAATAATATATATATTTAACGTAATAATTAGGGTTTCTGAAACGGGATCCCGGGATCCCGGTTGTTTTTTTAACCCGGGAAATATCCCGGGAAATTTTTCTTATCCCGGAAAATCCCGCAAATTTCTTAAAAATTCACTTTTTTTCTTATTTTGTGTTAAGGTTGAGGAATTTTGCAAATAGAAAGCATAATTAACTCATTCACTGTCAGAATACATTTGTATTTATTAATTTTAAACCTACCTATTAGTTTTTTTAATTTTTGCTCGTTATAGCATGTCACAAATGGTCAATAATCAATATATAGCTTATTTGTGGCAGGACTATAAAAATTCTTTACTTGTCGGAACCTGTAATATCTGGAATAATTGTGCTTACGCTGTCTTGAGTTTTAACCATGCCCAGTAGCTTCAATAAATGCCTGACGCCAGATTGTGCAAATTGGGCAAGGATACAAACGAGTACAAAGTCTGCAAGTATGAAGTTTTTCTTCATAAACCTGATTATTAAAGCCAAATGAATTGCCGAATTATCGAGCTCTAAGCTTGATGCCGCTATTAAAGCAGCCAAGGTAGACAAATCAAGAATACTAGAGAGCGAAAGAAGTACTACAATCTCGAAAACGAACTCGAAATCTTCCAGGCTACAGGTGAAAAAACACATAATATCTGTCTTCTCTTAAATGCATTAAACACTATTCCAATCACATCAATTGAATCGGAAAGGGCATTCTCGGTGGCAAGACTTTTCATTACTAAAATAAGAATTAGAGTGAGTTATCGGAGTATTGACCATCTTTGCTTTTTAAAATCTTATAAAAGTTTGCAATATTTTGTATTATATTTTATTTAAAAAACGAAAATTACCTTCTAAATTAGAAGTTCATTTTTTTAATTTTTAACTCAATTCAAAACATTTTTTTTTTTTTTGTTGTATGCAGTTTCCAGCAAACTTTAATTAATTTTTTTCTATTTGTGAAAATTTCTACGTTATTTAAAGGTAATTTTTATTATAGGCCTATAGACCTTACACAGCATTATTAATATGATTTTGGAGGTTACAGAACTTTAAAATTACTTTAAAAAATGGAAAATAATTATATCATTTGATTTCAAGATATTTTGTATACCTTAAAAATAATTAATTCTATCCCGGGATTTCCCGGGATCCCGGGAAACAGTTCACTTTTATCCCGGGATCCCGGGACAAGCAAAAGACCGGGAAATGAGAAACCCTAGTAATAATCCCTCATTTTCATAAAATATTAAAAATATTATTATTAATTAATATTATATTACCGCAAAACGTAACATTTTTTTTCTTTATCTCAGTATCTGAAAACGATTATTATTTCTAAACATAATTAAAGTTTTCTTAGAAGTAATTCAGAAATAGTTACTTAATTAAATTTTATACATTAATTTGCAGCAATGTTGACATGATAATGTTGCACGCTAGCTTAATACAATCTTTAATTAATTTTAACAAGAGCATGCAATATTCCTTACTGTATTTAATGAAGTTGATAATCTATAATTTTTAAGCGTTTTAAAAATAAAAATTTTTAAATGATTTTCCATTCTTTAATCTTAAAATATTTTAATTAAATCTGTAGCTATTGTTTAGAGAAATTATTTTAATTGAAACTTTTGATCCACTAAATTTTTAATTGACAGATTTAAGTTTGTGGTTGAATATAAAAATATTTCGTCTTTAGAATTAATCTGTGTTAACACATAAAGGATCTTGTTTTGGTGCAAATATCTTTATTTGACGTATATTATGTAACATTAGGAAACGGTTTATGAAAGGAAGGATTTTTATGAATAAGACAAAAGGACAAAGGAACTATGAAAAGGAAATGAAATTAAGATGCTTGCACAAAAGAAGAGAAGAGAGCTTTGAAATGAAATCATGAAGAGAAAGTTGGAAAATTGATCGATAGGTTTGGGTAAGACTTATGAAAAGAATAAAAAAAATAAAAGTTAACAAGTTTCCTTCATATAAAATTCAATTTTCTTAAAGCACAGTTATATTAAGAAAAAATATTTTGGTGTAATTTTCAACAAAATTTTAAAATAAAACTATTAAAATTCGATTTTATACCATTTTAAACATTACATGAAGTCTATTATTAAATATTAAAAAAATATAATAGTTGAGAAAAAAGATTAAGTTAAAAAGTTTTTAATCTGAATTGAGATAAAAATCGTGTTTATCTCTGGAGCTACTGTATAAAAATTTATCGGATGTTTTTTAAAGTAATATGCTCTTATCAATTGTATAAAATCGCTTTAAAATGGCACCATTTACTTTTATGTGAAAATCTAATGTAAAACATGAGAAGAATCTGCCAGAAACGAAAAAAATCCGTTAAGACCATTCAATGAAAGAGAAAGTTGAAAGATGGATGAAGGAAAACCAAAGTGAAGCGGGACAATCTCGATATTGTGGACAAAAGTGTCAACTTCCGTCTTTGAAGACAATTTCGAGAAACTAGAGACATTGATCGATCGAAATCAAGAAACTCTAAACCGGATATCCCTGTTCTAGAACTATCGAGTTATTTATAGCTTAACAACTTAACAATAAAGGGTTGTGAAAGAATTCTAATATTCTTAGATCTACAGAAACATGCAAATGAAAGAAAATTGCTGAAGTTAACTATAGCTAGAAAGTACAAAATATCTCATACACTTTAGAGTTCAATTAGATTCACGCTAATCTTTTCAAAGAAACATTATTAGATATGCACAGAAAGAAATAATGAATTCTTTGCTAAGTTCGATAAGTAGTTTTTAAAACGTAATTAAATCTCTATCATTTTTATTACCTAAATATAAAATGTTATTACAAATACAGTTCAGTAGAGATATGAAAAAAGTTTATGATCGACGTCATATATACTGTAGCTGTATAGATTTTATAGACTCTATAAACTTACTGTATAAGCTCTTGATTTATAAGCCTTTTATCCTTTATAATGAAATGATATACCTTAAACGGAATTAGGTAAACGTTCGAAATGTTAGTGATAATTTGCAAAAGAGCGACGTTTTGCGTATTAAATAGCATCGAATCTTACTTTGAAATCACTGAAACGGATCTGTATTTGTAATAAGCAAATTTCCATAAATGCAGAATTTAATATAGCTTTTAGGAAATAACCATTTAATTAAAACAATGCAGGATAATACGGCGTTATAAATTTTAATAATATATAGTAACTTGTAAGCTTGATAGAAAATTAACTAAAACCTTGATTAAATTCTCATTATAAAGAATAGATTAATCCAGATATTCACGAATTTTATGCTTTTTTAACGCTAAAAATAGACAAGACGAGTATTCAATGTGAAATAAATCGTTGTTTTGAATACATTAAGAAATTCCTGCAAGCAAATTAAGTTAAATTTATGACGCTGCTTACTCCTAATAATTTCATCAACATGAAAGATGTTAGAGCAATTAAATGTTGCAGAGTCAGCCTAATGAAAATCCCGAAAATGCTGTTTTATGTTGTTTATCACCTTTGATAAAACTCGGCGGAGTATAAAGGTTCAAAAATGGAATTTTATCCTGTTAACTTCCAACATACCAAAGTTAGATATCAAGACGAATGTCGGGACCCAAGACATTATACGGGACTAACATGAAAAAGTTTGAATGAATAGGATTGAAAATTCTACTCCTTTTCTGATTTCAATTCCTTCGAGTATAAATGCGAAGCTACAGGGAAACGGATAGCTCGAATTCAACAACCTTTCATGATTTAAAATCGTTCTTTTGCGAGAATAAAGGTTATTTCATTTCTCTCGGTTGGATAACTCAGTTCGCAGTCGAAAAATCGTTATGAGCATTTCTTGATGTACCGTATATCGACATTTACTGTTAACTTGATAAGATCCGAAACTAGATAATGCTACGAATTGAGAAATTTTAGGTGGAATTAAGATCACGCTAATGTTACAATCACGAGTTTACTATACAGAACAAATTATACAACATATTCGTCAGATTGGATCGATACAAAGTAATTATAATATAGCTTACATCTAACTCATACGATACATTTTTTTTAATTATTGCTTTAATGACAATTTTTCAGTCAATTTAATTAATAAGGTTTTAATTATAAAAAGTTATTAATAAATTCTTCAATAATTAATAATAAAAAAATCATTTATTACAATTTGAATAAAAATAATAATTAAAAAAGTAAATTACTTTGTGGAACTTTATAAGCATTAAATTAAGATAAATCATTAAATTTTTTGTTTTATAAATTCACGTTCTAAAACTTAATTATTTGCCGAAACAAATCCGGATAATTTAATTGGAAGCAAAATTGAAATTTGTTACTTTTAGATAAAAAGCCCCNTCTGCTGACAGTTTTAAAATGTAACAGAAATAAATTATCATAAATGTGACATTTAATATCGTTATAATTTCGAATACTTTATGTACTTTTCGCGTAAATTTGTTTAATTCTTTTCTTTAATAATAACTAATGTAAATAGTTTAATTTTTAACAGTCTTTAATTTTTAACGTTAAGAGAAGATTAATTTAACCTTTATATAAATTTTTATTTATTCGAAAACTAAACTTTGAAATTTAATTGTTAGTAGACATTTGTTTGGAGTAATTTCTGTTATTTAAAATGTCTAAATCTTTGTTTAGTTTTATATTAAAATAATTAACCAACAACAGGTGCCATTTGTAACAATGACACGGCGACACTTTGCATGGCTACCCTTTCAGGTAGGCTAACAAACAGAAGAGGAGAGAATTTGCTGATTGGAACAGTCATTGCAAGTCACTCACCGTTAACGACTAATTGTGCCGTAGAGTTGACAGTGGCGGCTGCGTTGCTGGCAACACAAGTATAATTTCCATTATGTTTCGGGTTAAGTTTTTCGATAGCCAAAGCTACAGAATAAGTGTCAATGTCTTTAACGATCACATCCAAGTTTTCGGGAATAGATTCGCCATCTTTCAACCAAGTGACAGATATTGGAAGATCGCCGCTTGCAATATTGCAATAAACTCTTGTTCGCATACCTTCGTGAAGATTTTCGGCAAAATAGAAACGTTCTATCAAAGGAGGAACTGTAAAAGAAAAAAAAAAAGAAAAAAATGAAAAATGTCAAATATGCATCACCGGGTTACGTAATTTGACGTTATATTACGCAGTTAATTATTTTAGTTACGACTAAGATTGACGCTGTTCTAATTAAACATTGTTACCGAACTGATAAAAGTTGTAATAACTGAACACCAATAGAAATTAGTATTGAAATTTAGATTAAAATGTTTGTATGCATGAATATAGAAAACATCTTAACGATGTCGGAGTTTTAAATAAGAATTTTTTAAACTTTTTTTTAAAAATAAATGTAAGCGTTAAGGACGAGATTAAAAATAAACAACATCTATATATTACATTCTTTAAAAAAGTTTGGTGCATTTAAAAGTCTAGTGATCTTAAGTAAAACGATATAATAAGAAACTATATGATTTGTAGTTGAAATGATTTTTATAATTATGAAAAAATTTCTTCATTGACAACTTTACCACCATTTTTAGTGCTGAAAAATGTGTACTATTGCATTATACTTTAGTAACAATGCAAAGTAAGATAATATCAAAACATTTTGCGAAATATTTCATAGCTTTTGAGGCGAAATTACGTAACTAGACTAAATGCTTCAAATTGTAAATTTATTTAAATACTTGTCTTATTTACTAATTTAAACAGATAAACAAACTATTAATTTACTGTATTTTAAAAATTAAAGAGAATCAAATATTTATGCATTTATTATTTACAGTTATTTATTTACAATTTCAAATTTTAAGAAACAAATAGTTATAATTGTACAGAATAATTCGAAGACCACTAAATCCTAAAGAAACCGCTTTGTGAACCTGATCTATGGGCACTAAAAAGGTCAATTTAGTACCCACAGGGTAGAAAGATAGAAAATCCTCTTTATACATAAATGAACTTCTAGATTTGAATTTATATTGAAAACGTTAAATTATGACTGATTTTAAATTAGAAGAAGGAAAACTTATATCAAATTTTTTTCCACTTAAATGAAAATAAACCACGTCATACTTAATGAAAATACTGAACTTATTTTACATTTTTTTCAATATTTGGAAAAATATAATTAAACATTTTTGTTAAAAAAATCGATAGTTATTTAATATAAAAAAAATTCTCCATTCCGCATTTAAGGTCATCATTAATGGTTTTCTGATTATGAAATTCTTATTCTGCACTAAAAAATCCAATAACAATTTTATTTCTAAAAATAATGCAATATGTTAACTAAATTTTATAAATATTAATACAAAAAATTATAACAAAATCTATTACACTGTTAAACTTAATTAAAATATAAATTTTCGATATCTCTCTTGTAATTATTCTATTTTGAAAACTTTAAAATTTATAAATATAAATAAAGTAATAAATATCAAATGTTTTGATTATTTAGAAACATCGGTTTAGCTAGAAAAAGTCTAGAAAAATAACTTCTAACATTAAATTTTGTGATATAAAAGACAGTCGCAAAGTTGGAAAATCCTTGTAAACTAACTGAAATAAGTTTTCGATCCGGTTTCATATGTTGTTTGTCATAACAATAGATAGAGCTTAATTTTTTCGTGGCACAAAGATATTGATTGAAAGAAAAGCTTACCTCGCACATTGATAGCTAGAGTCCCTTGGGCGCTCTGACCCTGTTGATTTCTAGCTATACATGTATATATTCCTGTATCAGTAGCAGCATCCAATTGAATAATCTCCATTGTGCCATTGCTAAATATTTTTTGTCTGTGATTGAATGGAAGTCGACGTCCGTCTGTTTAAAGAAAAGAAAAGATTTAATTCTAATTTCTTTTAATATCGTTTTTTTTTCGTTTCTTATATTTTAAAGTGTTTTTCGAAATACTAAACTAAATACTTTATTTAAAAGAAAGTTGGATTAGTAACATACAGTGCAGTAAATCAGTTAATAGAAGTGTAAAGTTATCTCAACTAGAATAATACGAGAGAATTGCAACTCATGGAAATGAACTTTCTCCAAAATTAAAGTTTTTTTTTTTTAAATTTTTTTCCTGCTATCTCTTTTAAATCAACGAAAAATGCTGATCGATATACTTTTAAATACATTGCATAGATAAGTTATCGTTGTTATAAATTGTTTAAAATGTTTTTCTGTTCCTTTAGTGGATTTAATTAGATAGAATAAACGATAAGATCTATAAACTTTAGAGAATCATAATTAAAACTTTGAAAATAAATTTAAAAATTCATCTTGAAACAAAACTGAAAGGATAAACGTTTATAGAATTTTACAATTGTTCACAAACTATAATAGGTAATTTTTTGAATCGAATTTAATAAAGTTAAATTTTAATAAAAAGGGAACACGTGTGTAATTTCAGATTTCATTCTTGTCTTACTTTCTAAACTATAAAATAAAAAACATTATCTATGTTAAAACTAATATTAAAAAATATTATCGGTGCGTTTTTTTCCTCTCTTCGCAAATAGCAAAAATTTAAAAACCAAATCTGGCAGCAAATCTAAAGGAAAAAAAAACAATTTAAAATAGTTTCAAATTCAATTGAAAAAATTCTTAATAAATATAGAACTTTCGGTCAACATCCAGGGAAAAATTTAATCTGGAAAGTAACTGTTTAGAAAATCAAGATTTATGTTTTATCAATGCCTAAGAAGAGAACTAAGCTTTTCTTTTAGCTAGCTGCTTATCATTTTAAATCTAAATATATTATCATCTTTGTTTCTAATCCTTATTTTTTATAGAATTTTTGACGTTTCAATTGTAATAATTTTATTCTTTGAATTTTCAAATATATTATACTTTTTAAAAATATTTTCTGAATCATTAAGTCTCTTCATCTCTTCATCAATAAGTTAATAGTTGAATAAAAAGTAGACCGCACGTGCTATTAATTAATGACAATAATTTTCATTCTTAATTATTAAAATTAAGATGCGTAAAATGACTTAATTTTAAATTAATGAGATAATTTGAAAAGGTGAATATAAAAGTACTCAAAATTAGTTTTTTTTTATTATGATAAAAATTACATATAGATATTTATAAATTATGATCTTTAAAGTATTAACATGATTTAAAAATTTGCTTATTAAAATAAATTAATAAAAACTGCAATGAATATTCGATTGTAAATGGAATTACTAATAAGAGCGAGCGATTTAAACATTTAAATCCGTTAAGTAGGGGAATTAGGAAACATTGAAATGCAAATTCAATGTTTCCTAATTCCTTTTAGAAACTTTCAACTTTTAAGAAACATTTCAAAAGGTTAGAATTTAATAGTAAGAATAAGGAATTATGAGAGTAATAGAGGAAATATAATACAGGAAACTCAGAAATGAATGAATAATGCTTCATCAGCCAAGTAAAATAAACTAAATTTAAGCATTTATACGAAAATTGAATTATAAGGAAGTTATACTTAACTCTATTCCAGCTTTAAAATTTGAATTTATTGTCTATGATTGTTTCTGCTGACAGTTTTAAAATGTAACAGAAATAAATTATCATAAATGTGACATTTAATATCGTTATAATTTCGAATACTTTATGTACTTTTCGCGTAAATTTGTTTAATTCTTTTCTTTAATAATAACTAATGTAAATAGTTTAATTTTTAACAGTCTTTAATTTTTAACGTTAAGAGAAGATTAATTTAACCTTTATATAAATTTTTATTTATTCGAAAACTAAACTTTGAAATTTAATTGTTAGTAGACATTTGTTTGGAGTAATTTCTGTTATTTTCTGATAAATGAATTTGTTAGCAAAATTAAATTTACAGGCAAATTTTACGATTCAGCAAAGATGTTTCTGTTTAACATAACAAACTTTATCCAACCGAGCCTCAAGCAATATTTTTGAAAATAATACAATTCTTCCTGATTCCTTTCATTCTTAATATGGCTAATTAAAATATATTTATTGTAATTAATTTAGACAGGAGAAATCTGTAATATTATTATTAGATTCAAAGCATCAGAAGCAAGAATATTGCAATAACTAACCTTTCTCCCAGTGGATAGAATCTATTGGATGACCCGCTACTCGGCAAATCACCACTAAAGTTTCCATAGCAACTGCAGTCACATTATCGAAAGGTCGAACGAACGGTAAACCGAATACGTTCAACTTGGCTTGATGTAAAATGGTCCCGGCTCCGTTTGTGGCCTTACAGCGATAGTAACCCCCGTCCTCTACTCGGACGTTGCTGATGTTGACGTGACTGAGGACAAATCCATCACTAGTGACATAATCTCCTACAATGACTCTTCCAGTACGCTTAATTACATTGCCATCTAAAGTCCAAGATATTTCGGGCTTAGGTGATCCACTAGCTATACACTTCAGAGATACCGAAGGTCCGGGTTGATACGTTTGTTCCGTAAAAGTTTCAATGAATTTTGGTGTTATATCTGTTAAATATATTTTTTTAAAAAACTTTTAACATCTATCATTGTCAATTTTACACTTTTAAATAATAAACTAAAAATTATTCTATTTATTTTAGACAATTTTTTACGTTAAAATATATATACAGATGAATGGTATTCGAAAGAAAAATAACATATATAAAATTAATTTTCTTCAAAAGATTCAATGCGAAGAGGAATCAAATTATTTACATATAACATAACCGTCATAAATGTATCGGATGTGCAATTTAATATAGTAAATGATAAAGATTTTTATAAAAATATTCTTATCAATGAAGTCTATTAAATTTTAAATGAAAATCCAGATAAGTTTCTTGCCTCCCATTTTGAGTTCACTGGTTGCCTGGGTAGAAAAATGAGAATTTGAAGCGAAGCACTGATACATCCCTTCATCTTCGTTGCTAACAGAAGATATTCTCAAAACATTCCAAGTGGTATGAAGCCTGTGATTATTGCTAGGTACGGGTCTTCCATTAAAATACCAGGAAACGTTGTGAACTGGAAAACCGGTGATGGTACAATTAAATATAGTAGATCTTCCAACATCGACTGTTTGAACTACTGGTTCGATAGTTGCAGTTAGGTGACCTAGAGTGAAAAAATGATATTGATATTTTGTTATTTAAGAATACTTTTTTTATGATTAAAATCAAATAAAATGAGATTTACTTTAGATTTAATACTTCAACGGGATAAATAGCGTTAAAAAATCCATTACCGAAAGTGAAGAGATATTTAGATGGGCCATTGATAACATACCTGACACCACCAGCCGTGTTTGAGTTCTTTCCTCTCCCACATTATTCCGCATAACACATACATATTTACTGTCGTCATCTGGTCGCAAATCCTTAATGATCAGAGAGCCTCCAAGTTGTTCAAATCTCTGTCCTGTTAAAATTGGAGTAAGAACATTTCCTTCTACCTTGTGCCATCTGCAATCAAATGCAATTTTAATAGATTAATCTATCCAATATTATTTATTTTAAATTATAAAATTATTAATTATAATAAAAAAACGTCGTATATAAGTGCATTTGCATATTACACGACAAATTTTAATATTTTAAAAAAAATCGTTCGCTTAATAAATTCGGAAATGCCATTTTCGATATCAATCAAAGATAAATTATGTTTGTTTTCGTGACATAATTAATGTGAGGTGAAACATTATCTACTCATTATTCCGTGTATTATAATAGAGAAATTATAATCTGAATTTCAAAATCCATTAAAATATCGTTAAAGTTATCCGAGAAACTAAATATAAAATTTATGGTAAATGAATGAATATTAAATATTTTATTTAAGGTTACGATTAATAAATTTCTGTTGTTATAGAAAATTTTAGTTTAATATTTATTCTTAGAAATCAAATTTACCGATATTTAGGGATTGGTAGACCCTGAGCAGCGCAAGGAAGTTCGACTGTTTGATGAAGAAGACCTTCAATAGTAGAACGACTATCAGTTATTCGTGGAGGAAATGTATTCTGTGGATCTAAAAAAAAATTAAATATTAAAATAATTTAAATTACATAAATTTTCAATTAAAACATAATTTCTGATACGTTACTTTTTATACAGAACTGATCTGATTTTCCCTAGGCTATCTGACGATAATTTACAATTGAATTATTGAACTCGCAGATTATTTTTTGCAACAAATTAATTGCTAACTTTATATGTAATTAATATCAAAAATAACTTTTTAAATTTGCAACTTTAGAGTAGTATTTTAAAAAAGTAGTTTTGAAGGATTTACGGACATGCAATATCAATCAAATTCAATAGTTTTAGCAGGGTTACTATAAATAGACATTGTTTATAGAAAACACTTTTGATAAATTGACAATTTTCTTGCCTATCGAGACGGTTGAAATGCAATTCTTCTTTATTCATCTCGCTATTTTAGATACATCTGATACATCAATAACACAAAAAAATAATATTTTTGTGTTCGAAATTGCTAAATAAATAGTTTAGCATTATTTAATTACATTTTCTTTGTGTAAAATCTATGAAAATGTTAAAGATCTATGCTGAAAGATTATATGGAATTATATCTATATTTAGCATAATTTTTCGATCTATTTTTATTTGGAATTTTGCTTTTATAATTGTTAAAGTATCTGGATAGAATTTTTATACTATTCTTACTTGTTATTATAAAATTATTAGTTACGCAATATAAAAAAAGTGANTCTCACTTGGGGACAAATAAAGAATTACAATAAATAAATAGATCGGAAAAGTGTCCCACTCCTCCCGGTGTCCCATTCCTCCCTTGTCTCCCCTATTTATTGTAAGAATTCATGCATAAGTACTTCATATCTGTTAATGTTTATTGTTTAACAATGGATTTATATTAAAATTATATTATAAATTTCATTTTTTGAAATATTTATTTAACATGCAAAGTCACCAATGGTGCAGTTTAACAGAAACACTAATTAGACACATGTTAGCATATATTATTCAATATCAAAAATTATTTTAAGCTAATTTATATGAATGCAAATTGGGCTAAGATGATTATTAATTTAATTTCATTCTCACATCGACTTATAATTAGCAGAAACTATAATTAATAGTAAATTTGCATATAGCTAATATTTAATTCTGTGAATATTTTCACCAGCATATGTTAAAGTTATAGATTATTATTTTAATTATCTAAAACTTATCTATAATTTTATTATTATTTATTAACCCTCCAGAACACCTAACATGATTATAAAAAACAAGAATATTAACATCGGACTCAGGGCCGTTCTAAAGTTAGGATTATTTTTATTTACGTTTTGATCATACAGACCTTTCTGAAAACATTTTCATGTCCTTTCGATGTTATTATGTTGATTCTGTTCCGATTGTTTTGTCATTAACTTTCTCCTTCAATATTACACAAATGTAATATTGAAAGAGAAAGTTAAATGTTATAATATTTTGCAGTTTTACTTCACTTATAAAAGTCAATAAATATTATATTGTATTATTTTCTAAATAAATTAGCAGAGTTAAACAGCATTTATGTTAAATAATTAGCATAGTTAAACAGCATTTATGTTAAATAATTAGCGGAGTTACGGTTTTATTAAACAGAAATAATTTACAGAATAAGTTTGAAAAGCTACAAAAGATAAATGATAAAATAAAGATAAAGTTTTTAGGGATGCTCGAGTATTCACTACATATAACTGTGTTATGCTCAAGACACATGTTGCAATCAACAAGCGATTTTGTCTTGCGATTTTTCTTTTTATTTCTGTTTTTAAGGTTCCGTTTTTACGTTTTCAGTGTTTTTCTAATTGCCAATTGAGTCAATCTCGCGAGTCTCTAGGCGCCTTTTCTAAATGACCTGCAAGTCAAGTGACCTAGTCGCTATTCTCTTCTTCCCACAACTTGAAAAAATAAACATATTACCGCTCATAATTCATGCCTTGTTACCTGCTAGGTGTATTAAATATCGTATAATAATTCTACATCTGACAATGCACTTTAAAATTGGTTCACATTATAGTATTGGTAGCAAGACAGAGGCAGAAATATTAGGACCACTCAAAGGAATTTCCGAGTGTGGATGTAGAAGGAAGAAAGAAGATGGGAGTGTTGAGAGGGAAGGGGAAAGAATGAATGAAAGGACAGTTGATGAAGAAGAAACGTTCATGAGTGCTCGCATCGCATTTATTATGCAAAAACTAGTTACAGTACAATATATACAAATAAATCTGTTAGATAATTTCACGAGCTCTTTAGATGGAGTGGCATACGGTTGCAAAGATTGACAAAAGAGTGACATGCACAAAATGTATACATAGTAAAAAAAGAAACATCGTAAAGTTGGTCCACAGCACCGAAACGAAAGATTAAATTATTTTGGATAAAACGAAATGTGGTATCTATTTACACATGTAAACGGTAGGCATCTAATTCAGGTTAAGATACTGTACTGTATAGTACATGAGAGTGCAAAAATTTTTGAGTATGCATACAAGAAATATAGATAAATTTCGTACTAGTCCGTTTCATAGACTTCTTATTAGTACTGGAAGGTTAAATTTATACATTTTAAACGATAAAGTAGAGAAAATTATATTACAATAATTAAATTTTTTATAAAATAAGTTCTATCAGTGTAAGTACTGAAAAAAGTTCAATGATTTTTATTTATATGTCAGTTACGGTTTTATATTATATTTTGATCATAAAAATCTAATAAATATCATAAAAATATAATAAATATAAAATCTAATAATAAAAGAAATATTTTAAAATGATTTATTTAGATTATAATTTTGAAATAGGCTAAACGAGAACAAAATCTTAGCCATTGCATGTCAAGAATTCATCTTTGTGAAGAAAAGAATATACAGAGAATTTTGCAGCTGCATTCACTCTGTAGCTGATCTATTTTACTGAATGACTTTAGTATAATCTTTAATATGTGACAGGGCGCAGCATCAACCTGAAAATGATTTAGTCATCCGGAAACAAATCTTGGATCTTTGCAATACTTTTCAAGGGATTCTCAATTCGTTTTGACGCATTCATCATCTTCTTTACGATGCGTGACATCTACATTACGATCTTTCGCATTCTGAAGAGTTCTTTACTCGATAGTATCTGAACCCTACTTGAATGGAACTGTTTCACAATTGAATCGCATTTTTAACTGTCAGCATAGAGTTTCAAGTGGCTCCTGTGTTGCTTAATACTATTTTCAACAATTACTACTAACTGATTTTAGTTTGTAAATTAAATTTTTGTATAAAATTTTAAATTAACTTAAATATTCTAGAAACCTTAAATTATTTAACATAATTGCTTTTATATATTTTATGCACTAAACTTATATAATCCTATGATATAAAAAAATTACAAAAGTTATTATAAAATAGAAATGCAAAATGGACGAAACGTGCATTTTTCATACTGTACTTACATAATATACAATATATATAACTATATAAGTTTAAAACTCGGACTACAAAGTAAAATTTTATTGCTCGTAAAATAAAATATGGAATGTTTAAATCAAGTTTTTCAATAAAAAATTTTCTTTAAAGTTTAGTGGCCTATTCAGTAACTTTCCCATAACGAATTCAATTCAATCACTACTCTGAGTCGGGATATATTTAGAAGTAGAAATACATTACATAAAACATCTATATTATAAGTAACTTTAAAATTTTTAAATATTTTTTATATAAATAATGAGCATATGTTAATTTATAAATTTTTATTTAATTTTTTAATTCTTTACTTATATGTATNTAGACTAAATGCTTCAAATTGTAAATTTATTTAAATACTTGTCTTATTTACTAATTTAAACAGATAAACAAACTATTAATTTACTGTATTTTAAAAATAAATATTTTAATAATAGTGCTATAGTTAAGATAGTATAAAATATAATTAAAGTTAGATAAATATAATTAAATGTTGTACTAAACAAATTGTTTTCCGGAGATTTCTTTTATCGCCACCTCATTTACATCCGTCGTTGTAAGAAGCATAAAAAATTGTTCTTTAATTGTTTTTAATTTTATAAATCCTTATATAAGAACAACTGTAAGAAATATAAAATATAAGTAAAATTTTAAAAAAGTGACTAAAGTTTCATTTTCAATCCAGTAGCCTATGTGGTAAATAATATGGGTCAACCAAAACAATAAGTTTATCACAATTTAGATCGACAGATTTCCAGTTCAATTAATAATATCTGCACTCACCCGTCACAACAAGTCTTCCTTGAGAATCGCTCAATCGAGTTTCGCCTGTCAGGCGATGTCGAGTTCTACAGCGATAGCTGGTGAAATCATCAGTACTTCCCACATTTCTGATGTGAAGTTGTCCACTCGGATATACACTATATCTTCCACCTAAAAAAATACGTTCAATAATCTATCCAATTATATCGATTAAAAAATATATATTTATTTATTTATCATAAATGTATGCTTTTTTTCAGATATTCTTCCGTGCTTTGGACGTTTAAAAAGGTTATATTAGCGTGGTTGCGGCCGAAGTTTTCGTCTCTAAGGGTGCGATTATGCAGACGCGAATTTAGAGCGAGCGAGAGGTTGCGAGCGATTTAGTTTTCGCAAAGGAAAACCATGCACAAACGAGAGCGAATTTCTGGTTCTCGCACGTATCTGACAGGTTTTGATATTTATCGCGTCTCGCCTCTTCTCNACCACTATAAGAAACTAAATTGGCTTTCGAAAATATAATTCAATTTCTCTTTTATAAATTTAATAAATTGCTAAACACAAATGTATATCACGTTTATATAATTACACGCTAGCCAATCGTATTAACGAAAGCGTGTAAACGTTTTGAGCTCGTAACTAGGTTCTTATGCTCGGGATCACACACGTTAATAAGATCATCGATGCTTCATTTTATCCTTTCTACACCCTTTCAATTACAGCAATTCTTAACAACTGTATTGTTCGTGTAGAGCTAATTTTTCAAAAAATATATCGTTTAGAAAACTATTTACCATTATTTTAAAATTAGTGACTCTTACAGCAAACAGCAACTATAAAAATAATTTACTATAATTAAAGCCAGGATTAACCTACTTAAGAACAAGTAACTTAATTCTACTATATTTTAAATAAAATATATCTATTTTATTGATTATAAAAACAACGAAACTGATTGGAAGATAAGCGATAAAAAATAAAATAAAAAATATATAAATTTCGCTAAACCAAGTAGTGCGCTCAAGCGGAAAATAATGGAGCCTACAGAAATGACCGATGAATATGGATGACAGTCATCGTAAAGAATAAACGATAAATTTCCGAATTATATAATGGATGATTTGACAGTCAACCAATTTTTAGAAGCATCAAAAGATATATTACATTCGACATCCTCTTTTCTAACAGCTACGCCAAGTGAATAATTTGTAAATTAATACCGTACTTCGATTATCTTTAAATATATAAAGAAATAAAAATAAGTTTTTCTTTTAAAAAATTGGTTTATCTCAAAACTTCAATTCCACCGAAGAAAGTTTTCTATCATCATTTTCTTTTGTAATTTTTTTCTTTAAATAATTTTCTGTAATCGATACTCGATGCTATAAAGTTTGCTTAGTAACATTTTTTAAACATAATCAACAATGATTGATGCTTGATACTGATTTAAAATATCGAATTTCGCTAATTATATATTTTATATTTAAAAAGTAGAAGTTATTACAAAAATTTATTATGTTACTCTTATTTTATAGCCCATCCAATTAATTTTAATTAATTAGAAATTCTCGAATTTATATATAAATCGATAACAGTCGTATTTTATATTAAATCCAATTTTTTTACATACTCTAAAATTAAAATTACTGAAGTGAATTAAGACATTTTTCGGTAATTATCCATTTCTTTTAATTTGTAAAAATGAAAAATACATTTACGAATATGAATTTTTTAAAATATTTTTCAAAGGTTTTCTTAAAGCAATTCAATTTGTGTAATTCATTAATTTATAACCCGCTGCTTTGATTTTAATAGAAATTCATACGGTGTGTTAGTTTTTAGTAAAAAAACGTAATTATCTTAGTCTAACTAAAAACATCTCTAGTCATTTTATAAAAGTTAAGTTTTACTATCGAGGTAATAAAACCAGATAGTAAAAGATGGTGTAATGTAGTTACTATGTAACTTTAATAAAAATTTTATTTTATCGTTAAATGATTATTCTGTAACATGACTAGTAGCGACTGTTTTATATAAGCCCAGAAGGTATCTTATGAAATTACTATATTACTCTCTGAGATGCAGCAGCTGCAAAATATTGCTAAAATCCATTATACAACTTTTTGAATATAAAATTTTTAAGTTAATTATATTACTTTTTTAGCTTATATATTTACACTTTTTGTCTTTGATATATATAATATAATTCTAAATGCATTAAAAATTGTTTTTAAAATATTCCTGTTTGAAAATTTAATACGTCTTTCTTAGAGCGTTAAAAATTAAAGAAAGAAAGAAATTCTAGTAAAAGTCTTAACAAACAACAATAGAATATAAGCCCTAAAAACTATGAATTAATCAACATTTAGAATATTGCAATTCAATTATTCATTATACTGTAATATATTATAGAAGATAAATTATATATTAATACAATACCTTTGAGAAATGAAGACAAAATGTAATAAAATTTAAGAGCTCATAAATATAAATGGTCATCTATCAAAAATGTAACATGAAACATACAAAATATTTGAGAAGAGGAAGTAATAGTATACATATTTACGACTAATTCTCTCTCTACTTCCTCAAGTAACCATGTTTTTCCAATAGGTTTTTTTATGGTTGATATTTACCTTTTCTATATTGAATATTTTATTGTATTTTTCTTATTTTGTATCAAATATTAATTGATTAATATGAATATAACATATTATTTCTTTAGTATTTACACAAAATTAATTTGCAAGTTTTTATTCTGTTAAGTTTAACTTAATTATATTTTCTCCGTCGTTTCTAAAAACTATATTTTAAATTTATTATGTTTATTATATTATGTTTTGTTTAAGCTGTAAATGATTTGTAAACACACTATAATACATAAGCATACTTGACATTATTCAATACCTACGTCGTATGTATTTTACAACACTGATTAAACATTAAATATATAAGCTTTAATATTTTTACTGTTATTTTACATTTATATTTAATTTCTATAATTATTTTATTATTTATGATATTATTAACAATTAAACCCCAGAAAAATTATATTTAAAATATTTTTAAAATTTCTGTGCATAATAACAATTCATAAATCTACAAATTAATTATATAAATTATAAAAGTAATTGGTCATAAACTTCACATAAATATTTAATATACATATATTTTTTAAATCTTTGACTCAAAACTTCAATCTGAAAGCATTTAAGCAAAAGTTTTTAATTAGGGATTAAACTTTAGTATTAACTAAAATTAATATTTTTAAAATTTATAATTTTATTTGAAATTAATTTAGATTAAATACATTTACCTGTATTAATGTTAAATTAAGTTTACTTTTTAAAATAAATAAATTTATAAAAATATTCTTTCAAACTTTATATTACTATATTAAAATTTTTTAGATTTCATTATTATATATATATCATGTTTAAATTTTATAATATATATAAAAACTAATTTTTTTAATAAAAAAAAAATAACGCATAAATTTATTTATTCATCTATTTTAACAAAAATTGTTTAAACTTTCAGATATTATCCAATAAAATTATATTTATTTAATTATTTAACTAGAAATTTTGTTTTCATACTTTAAACGTGAAGTTTTCTTTAAATCTAAATGTCAATGTTTATTTAAAACATTAAGAACTTAAAACAAACGTTAATTGGTTTATAATTATCATTAAGAATGTTTAGAAAACGTGTGGAAGAATCCAATTAAAACATTCATGAACACAATGTCTCAACTATCCACTAATGTTTCAAATTTTAGCACAGTTTTATAATCATAAATGATGTAGTTTTATAAAAAAAAAATCATAATAAATCTCTCTCTCCCCTAAGCAAAAAGAATATTAAAAGTAAAAATAAGAAATTGGCTCGGAGGAAATAATAAATAATTATTTTTCTTTTCTTAATTTATTGATTTGATGCAGCATGTTCAACGCGATGTAAAAAAGTGAATGTACATAACTTTTTCCCCCTCTTGGAGTAAGTTCAATAATGGAAAGAGATAATACATTGCTCCTGGTTAAAATTAGAAAAATGATTAGTGAATATCATGTATGCAGAAGACATTTCAATCATGGAATTTTTAAAAGAAACCAAAAACTCATGTGTTGAATAGAGAAAGAAAATTAATGACTTAATTAAAAAATCGATTAGAATCTTCCTATTTGGCGCAGATGTTAAATTTTCTACACTTCTTGCAAATGAGATATCAACAATTTTCAATAAATAGCCGAATAAGAATCTTTTTATAAACACGGAAATTGAATTTTAATTGAGGTTAATGTTACATTTTTCTAAGAAACTTTTAATCTTAAGTAAAATAATATAAATGCCATAAGCGATACGGTGTTTTCCCTCTTGCTCTCTTTTACTCTCTTCTCTTATTTCGCTTTAAAAAATATTCTTAAGTAATTTTAAAATTTTCTTCAGAGAAATTATAATTTATAAACACGAGAAAAATGATATTCTGTAAATAACTTTCTAAAAATATTCCTAGTCAAACGATTAAAAGAGGAAACTTTTCTGAAACATGAACTGTAGGGTAAGAAGCGAAAAGGTGTAAATTTTTCCATTAAAAAAATAAATAACTCTCTTTTTTACTATGGATTTTACGTTTACAATATTGTACATGTAAAATGCATCAAGGAATCGGCCATTAACTAAAAAAACTATTGACTTAAAAAAATTTGAAATTACTGTAGCATTCAAGTGTGATTAAGAAAATTCCTAAATTAATTCACCAGGAAAATCTTCAGTTTTTAAAGTTTATAATACATTTTTTTGCTGATTAAATAATTTTTCAATGTATTAAGTAAAAAGTTTCCTTAAAAAATATTTTTAATAATTAAGATTTTTAAAATAATGAGTAACAGAATATCCTTTTAGAGTTATATAACATACTATACCTATAACATTTGATAACCTATTTCGCCTGGTATTTAATTATATTAACTTGTTAAATATTCTAATTTCAGAGTTTTCGAAATTATTAATTATGGATGAGTTGATTCAATTATAGGCCTATTTACCGTAATATATCCTACAGAGCTTACCAATCTCATTACTCATATTTATGTAATTCTAGGAAATTCTCACAAATAGCGAAACGAATTAATATGAACTACTTGCTAATTGAGTGTAGATGATCTGTA